ATGGGAATAAATAAATCTAGTACAACTCCACAACCGAGTACTGATTCATTTATTGGGGGATGCTTGGTTGTGTTAAAACAGGTTGAAAGAAAGCTTTTGGCGAAAAAACCGGGAAATGAAATGAATTCACCAAGTCATTGTTTGTTATTCTAAGTCATGTTAGTAGGTGTAAACTACTTTCCTGAGGTCCACGCGATGTAACAAGTGGTTAAAGACATTGGATGACAACTGAGAATCGGTCATAGTGATCCAAATCCATTTGGTTTTTCTTTTCTTTTCGATCTTAAATTCAAGTATTTCTTTATGCATAACTTCCCACTTTGTTTTTTCAAGCCATACTCCTGATGATGTTTAGTCACTGCTCGTACATTATTTCAACCTCTTTCGTATTTCATTTTGTTATTTACATCCAGTGTTAATGTGGTATGGGAACTTGGGGCGACACATATTGTTGTGCCAGTCTCTATGTTTATGATATGTGTTTAGATGAGTCATATACTCAGTTTTAAGCAGAAATTTCGGTTTGTGGTTCTGTTAGATTACCGGAATGTTATTGAAATCAATGCAGGTAAAGTGGGATTCGAACATGCAACCTAGTACTTGAAAGTCAGGTACACGAATCACATTATTATGGTTTTTTGTACTAACGCTCAATCCTATAAAGCACAAAGATTTAATTGGTTGTATAATATTAATATTACTAATTTTCATATGATGGGTATGGTCTAGTGTACAAGTCTACTTTTGTTTTTTTATTAGATTCCCAAATATTAGAATCAACTATCAAAACTTTTAAACTTATAGAACTTTTCGACTCAAGTTATTTAGTTAGAAAGTTCCAGATTGTGCATGTATGCACCGTGTTGTTCATGTGTCATAGAAACTGATTATTTATACCCCCTTTTATGTTCCTTTTTTTATTTTCCACGATAGGAAACCTATGAAAAGCGTCGTGAGCTTCAAAGAAAAGAATTACAACAAAAGGAAGAAGAAATGAGACAAATGTTTGTTCAACGTGTTAAAGAAAAGGAACAAGTTTTAAAAGAGGCAGAACGTGAGGCAAGTTACTTAACATTCTAACGAAAATGTATATCTACCTGTTGGTACGAATCCATAAAGCGACTTGACAGTGACGAATGATTTTAGGTTACCCAACTCATAATTACAGGTTTTAATATCTGGGATATAATAAGTCAAATGTTGAATAGTATTTGGCTTTGTTAGTAACTTCATGAGATGAACTTGTGGTGCCACACAAGTCCTTGGAGTAATTTGTCAGTCACCGTATGCCCACTCTTCACGTGTAAATAGCTTCTCAGTAACCAAACTATTATTCGGTTTCCCAATGAAAACTGCTCGTTCATATGTGGTTTTCTATCACGTTTTATCATCAACCAGTGATACACCTTATCCGATGGGCACTAACATTTATAGATTACAAACAGTCCGAGGACGAAGTTCTTCATTTTCAGAATTCTTACAAACCATGAATTATAATTGAAATTATGGCTCTCATATCTCTTGTCATCTTTCAATAAGTTAAGTTTCGAATTTTGCATGAATAATGTGCGGATAACCGAAAAAATCCAACGTTCTAAATCCATTTTCGTCTTTTCTTGTAAACGGAAGAGAAGAGTTAAGTGATACAGGGATATCTGTGATGGATTTTAATTATATCGTTTACCAATGTGAAAGTCAAGAAGTGTTTTGTGAGCTATTTATCAAAGGAAATTGGATTAGAGGTGCTGTTAGTGACCTGAGAGCGTAACCGCAGTGCCCAAGGGACAACTGCTTGACGTCGGTCACACGCGACCTTTTTATGAGTAATTTTCGTGTCAGCTCCGCACTTGTTAAGACCTTACCGCCGGAGACGGATATCCGTGGGATAAGGTGAGGTGTGCATTTCTAGGGTCGACCTTTTCCAACCCCACCCCTCCTTGTAAGAAGGCAGCATCGCTGTCATGCTGGTTGTCTGAGGGAAACGCCCTACTGCTGTCACACCTCTGTACAGTCAGCAGTACGACTTCGCCCTCGGACCTTGGGTTTGTTGCTTTTAGTCTTACCGCTCTTCAACCGACCTGTCTGACACGGTTGTTCTAACCAGTATAGCTCGGTCGCTTTATCACGACAGGCAAGCCCGACCACCACGTCAAGGTAGCAACAACAGTCGGGACGTTGTCGAGTCCTCCGATTATTAGTGGAGTGGGATGACTAGAAGGTAATTTGGCAGGAGTTATTGACGCACAGCCTTATAAAACCAGTTTGTAAGGATTCTTTCATCCTTAGTTATATTATGTTCACCTGCGTACTTATTGGATACCATAAAGTTTGGGTACCGCAGCAATGTTTTTTACACATGAGCACCTTAATAATATTTCCTAAAACGTCAAGCTCTCTGATGCACCTCCCTATTTATTGATCCAGCTTCCGCTTCTAGGGATGTGGATTGTTTCAAACATTCCATATGTTGTATAAAACTGATTCGCTTTCTACTTTATTCATTTTTAGCTACAAACCAAATTTGAAAGTTTAAAGAAAACGCATGCTGAGGAAAAGAAGAAACTTGAAGAAAAGAAACGCTTTTTGGAAGAGGAAATAGCTGCCTTCGAACGTCGAAAGCAGCTTGCGGAACAAGCAAGACAAGGAAATCTAACTATGAAAAAAAGGAAATGAACTATTTGGCAGGAATACAGCTAGTCTTCATATTACTTAATAATTCACTTTAGCACTATGATTTCGGGTTATTGCTTTTGCTAATCTCACTTCTCTTTTATAAATGTCTAATTTTTTCCTATGAACTTCAGCCCTATGTAAAACAAACCACGTACACTGCATTTGAAAATTACCGGGTGTTCAAATGTTTCTTTTTATTTCATTATAGGCAATAATATGATGCTTGTTTTATGCTAAGCAGTTTGTACTTTGATAAACTAGCCAATCGGCGGCAAAACGTGGTTACCACTCACTGAATAATAATAAGAGGGGAACCCAAAACACAGGTTGAATTTTAAAGGTATTATGACAGGAGACCAGCCTTAGAAAATGATAAGGTTGGGTAGTTTTTATTGAGTAATTAGAAGTGTGGAAACAGTGCTTATGTTCTAGACTACATTTAATTTGTAACCAAATATTCTTGAAGAGGCAGCTTAGCTAATAAGAACAGTACCGAACCACCAGTGGATAAGGTATCGAGACATTACAGTGCTTAATATCGGGTCTTATGAGAAAAGTGGCACATTTCTCTGTGGGTTATTATTTTATTGTAGCGATTTGTTTGTGTAAACTACCAAATACTCTAGCTGTAATTGAGTTACTTTTCAGTCTCTAGGACTAATAAGTTTATTTTGTAACCACACATCTACAAGTGTATGACGTCTTATATGTATCATTTTAAGCTACTATTCTAAATTACTTTCAGCTAGGGGATTTAAAATGATAACGAATGGGTGACAACAATTGCACTAACAACGGCAGAGTCCATAAAGCACCAGATAGATTAGAGGATACAGTAGTACAAATTGTGAAACTGGTATCAGCGAACCTTAAACTAATTTAAAGTCACCGCATGAGATTGCCAATATCACACAGTACTATTATTTTAAGTGCCTCCTAAGGTCCACTACCTTAGATGTAACTTGAGGGAAACTGGGGATTTGTTGTAAGTACGGGTAAATGACCAGTTGATCGATATTGTGTATCTAAACAAGGACCGATATTGCTCGGTGCAAGGATGAAAATGAGGGTGGAAACATGTGCATACACCAATTATATCCACTGTTGGTTTAAAAACTACGCTGAACCATATGCTATTGGCATAGCTGATCAGAAGTCAGATCTTAATACAGCGAAACGGTTGTTGTTGAAACTAATTAATCAATAACTTCCCTAATGTATGCAATTCAAAATATCGATAGATTAATTGCATCAACTAACAAATATAAATGAGTTGCCGGGTTACATATTTGCTTCATCTAGTTACGGTTAACCTCTTGCCAGTTTATGTCTGGTAGTATTGTATGCGACAGTCAGGCATCGATCCGTAACGGTTTGCAACTTTATATAGTTAACTTTTTTGGCCAACGACACTAGTATCGTCAACTTGTAAGTTGCACAATGCCATAAGGATACATATGACCTAGTATTTGCAACCCATGCATCTCTCAGCTGTCACATTTTACGAAATAATGCAGACCAAGCTATTTTATAATAAACTTGTGCTTCAGTGAGTTTATAGTTATTTTGCCTAAGTCATAGTTGTCGTAGCTAATCATGGTTTCTACCCGTTTTTATTATGATTCTACCACCTGAGTTTCGTTTTAGCTTCTTAATGCACCACTACTGTCATTTGTTAATTAGATTTGTGAGAGGAAGTGACCCGTTGGTATGTTCAGTAAGCTTCGGTAGTATTTTGAAAACAACATGTATAGGAATATTTCATTTGTGTGAGACTAGGTAGTTTAACAAGTTTGTGGCATGTATTCGCTCTACGTTGCCACACTACATATTAGCATGATGATAGATGAAGCTAGTCTTAATTGCAATGAAAATCTAACCAAAAGCAATACAATTGAATAATGAAGAGTAGGGGACGGAAGTAGAATAAGTGCCATTGGGGCAGGATTCGGGCTATCTCCAAGCTATCGGTTGTGAGTACTGCACAAGACAACCAGAAAATGCACCCACTAAACATCTTACAATTCACAAGGATTAGTACGCTCAGAAATGAGATAAGTGATAACGAGGTTACCTATCTAGCGGAATAATACAGACTCAAGCATAACTATCATCAAATATTCAGAATAAATTTTCAGACTTAAGTCAAAACGACATTTGTGGAGCAGCAGATACTATAAGAGATGATATACACTACAATTTCTGTGAAAGCCATATAGATCTCACTATTCTACAGGTCAACACATAGATCTCAGATTGTACAGTTTCAGACAAGCAAAACTTTATGCAAAAAAACGTTACAGAACAATAGGTGTCGATAAGGTAATTTATACAGTGTTCGTTGTGTTCGCACGGATTATCTTGATAACCTCACGAGGTCTTTCTGCTTGATCAACATCGACCATACCTGCAAACAATAAGAATGAAAAGAAAAACTTCTACCGAGGCGCTGAACAACTTTCATACCGGAAGCAACACGTCCAAAAATAGTATGTTTACCATCTAACCACTGTGTAGGAGCCAAAGTTATAAAAAACTGACTGCCATTTGTATTTGGACCGGCGTTCGCCATTGAAACAACTCCAGCACCTGGATCATGATTATTTTACTTTTCAAATGACTTACCTGTGTGTTTTAGGTCAGGGTGAATTTCATCCGCGAAGTAAGAGCCATATATTGATGCTCCACCTCGACCAGTACCTGTTGGGTCGCCACCTTGTATCATGAAATCTCGAATAACACGATGAAAAGCAACATTATTGTAGTACCCACGCCTTGCTAACTCAGCAAAATTAAGACATGTCTTTGGGGCATGCTTCCAATAAAGTTCAATAGTTATAGTGCCTTGACTTAAGTGTGTTATTGCATATTAAATTAATGGACAAACTTGGTGTCAAGAACAACGAAAGCTGGCTGGTCTTGAGCTGACATTCGCAGCTGCAACACCAAATCTGGTCACTGTCTTCCGATCTCTAACCTGATGGACGTAGCAAGAGTAAGACCCAAGTTAAATCCACCCTCGCGACCTTGATTGGCTCTGTTCAAGGCGAGCACACCGTATTTAAAGTACCAGGGATGGAGTATGAGGTTGAAAGATATTTCGGGTTGTTTTTGGATTCTGGAAGCCACAAGCGTTCTCTGTAAAGCTGTCAATACTCCAGTCTTATTAAAGATTTTATCAGGCTCTGAAAACAAAATATCATCAAATATTATGACATATAATACTAGAGAGTGCTTATTCATATGAGTAATATTTTCACTAAGTTGAAGGAAAATTTTTAAACGCTCTTCGTCAAACCCGCAGTTCCAAGAGTTCCCAAACAACCAATAAAGGGGAAATCAAGGAGAAAAAAGGGGAAATAAAGGGGAAAATGCGTTGGAAAATAAAGGGGGAAACACGCCAAAATGTCCCTTTTTTGCCTGTCCGGGAGAAATAATGCGGATTTCCTTCTTTTCGTCGCTTTTTCGCTAAATTGTCTACTTTTCGCCTAAATATCCGCCGAATTTCACCTAAATAACCGACGTAAAGGCGAAATGCCCCTTTTTCGCCTTTATTTACGCTTTCATCCTCTTTATTTCCCTTTTTCGCATTTATTCCCCCTTTATTGGTTACTTGGGTTCATCCTTCCACATAAATAGACAGTTTAGACAAATTATACAGAAAATAACTTGGCAAACATTAAACTTTACAACGAATTTATTATCAAGCTGTACAATTATATATATACATATATGGAGATTGTTCGTTAAAGTTAAACATTAACTGTCACTTAAAAAACTCACCAGAAGTTACTATCATTGTATCTTGCGGTATGAAATTCTATAACTCACGGGTTTCAAACGCCCAGGAGTTCCCACGAATTTTTCGTATACTTAATTCATATTATATCATAAAGTAGCATTCCCCTAGGTGAAATTTAGTAATGGGTTGTACAAAAGATCTGTTCAGATGAAAGTAGCCATGATGGATGTAATGCTCTATGACTATATCCCCCGGCAGTAATATATATATATATTCGGTCTTTTGCTTGCTCATTTTTAGGCTGGCTTGAGTGAACGGTTTCTGTCTTGAGGTAAGGAAATCTGCTACTGAATAGACGTAAGGATGCCACAAGTATCCGGAGTTTGACAACACCTTAATCAGTAACACCTTTTATAATCTAAACGTGCCAATACAGTGAAATCAGAAGTCAGAAGCGAAGAGACTCGAAGATATTTTTAATAGAATATTGATATATTGAGAAGTGACCAATCTGAGCTGGCTAGTGGTTGTATGAGATATGTACCACGACGTACCCACTCGTGATCTGGTGCGGATTCGTGACCAAGACCCCTCAGCTAGATGAGTCTATTAAAACTAATAAAGTCAGCATTAATGTCGAAGACTTAGAGAGCTATAGATTTTGGGGACATATTTACCATTACAGATGCTTATCTAGGCTTCAGAAGCTTTTTGAATATTTCAGTGGTTAAGATACCTAAAGCTCTGGAAGTATACTCCAAACATAATGCTGTATTGGTAACAGAGTACCATTGTGAAGTGACACCACGTGTGTCGGACATCAGTCATAAGGATAGTAGGTCGATCGACATGTATTACATCATTTTTTATATTTCTCAGTACAGATCCGGCTCCTTAAGAGATTTTTGCCATGGTGTTTCTAACGTTGACCACTCGGTGTGAAATGTAGAATCTTATGAGACGTTTTGTCGAACGTGATGCTGAAACTCTTTCGTCATCTAACAAATAATAACGCCCAAACGATTATTTATTGTATGAGGAATGGTGAATGGTTACCATGTATTCTGTAATAAGACGAAAACATATGAGCATTTTAATCTCACATTTTGTGAGAGGCTCAGCAAGTCTAGCGCAGAACACACTCACCAAACATGCTTAGATATGTCAGCTTTCTTAATAAAACATTGTCAAGCTGCTTGATTTCTTATATATGTGACATAATGTCACAAAAATATCTTTGTCAACACATGCGAAGGCTCTACAAAGTAACACAATATTCTATAACCTTTGATCTTCGATGAGCCGAAGTGTAGAGTTATTTCGTGGTCATGAATCACACCCACTTATGTATCGTTTCGCACATATGAAAATTTGATCCCACCAATGGTTTACCGTTGACCATCACTTTATAAGACAACGATTAGTCCTTTTTTTCTTAAACTAATATCTAAACTCTAACAGTAGGACTACTTAAATAATTCGTCTACATAAACTTGTGTATCAAGGCTACTAGTTCCGTTATATATTGTTCGGCAGATTTTCATAAAATCAGCAGACAAGTGTTGAGGCCTTAGACGATATTGATAATTTATTAACAGAGGAGATATATAATAGTTATATCCTTGCGGCACGCCACTATCCACATTTGATTTTCACCGGCCTTCTGTTGAAGTAGAGGATTTTTATCTTTCATTTGGTTTTATCCATTATTTTAAGTTGTAAATGCACAAGCCATATGGCAAAACAACTCACCAAATGCACGGTGAAATCTGGAAATAACTAATAAACAGACAGACCATTATCACGGGCTTTTACCCAGTCCACTCTGATAACTAGTAAGTTAGTTTGCAATGGCATTAAGCCATAACCACACAATCCTCAAAGCTGAACATAAGAAAATTGGCAAAATAGATATGCAATATTTAACGCGAAGAAAAACTCAACGATGGAGAAGGCGGGAACAATGAGTTGAATTAATTCGAGTTGATCGGATGGCATGGCTCGGCCTTCCAGGCGTGGTATTTGTCGAATGTTATCTCATATCTTTTGCTCATAGTAAATATGTTGTTCTATCTCCAGCCCGATTGTGTTCTCCATCATATATTGGTAATTGTTACGATACGATGAATCAGTGTAGACAATGATGTGACTTCCACGTAAGATCTTATAGATTAGGCAGTTACATCATGACAAATGCACAATTTTAGGATTAGGTCTATTATTAGAGCAGTACTAATATCATAGTAGACCGTAATTTTACATGTTCCGCAGAATGTTTCTCACGAAATACGGGTTGCTCAGGGCTCAAAACGTTATCTGGTTATACATAACTTAGCAACTATAATATATGACTCCAAGTTCTGGAGCAGTGTATTCTTCGGTCTGAATCTTTTCCTTCAATCTTCGGGATCCCGAGTTGGCAACTTGTTCCGATTCATATTTTTGACAATCCGACTACTACGTTAAATAGACTGACAAAAGGATTCCATCAATTCGGTTCATTCTAATACTAATATACAAAAATTTCCGTTCTGAGCAAGTTCAACTATTGCATGCAAAACGCCCTTCAGACGTTCCGCAATGTTGAGACATTTATTCTCACGCGCCTGTGAGAGTGGTTCTGACCTACACCAGTAAACACTCTTAGAGCATATGCCTTAGACAAGGATTCTCCAACTCTCTTCTGAAGTTTCTTTTTAAGTTATTTCAAAGCGCTACTCACCCCTGTAATGTTTAACTTAAATATCGGAGTAGTGTGTTCTTTGGTCTGACTATTTCATTTTGGTCTTCAGGGCTCTGAGTTAGGGTTTAGCTTGTGATGGAGGTTGATGATTTCAACAAAGTGCGCCCTGCACACCTCGGGCGTCTTTTCCTCATTTCCTCTGAGGCTAGAAGTAGGTTTGTTTGTTCTCGTAATAGTTTATTGCTGATGGTATTCAATCAATGAATCTTGTGTATATAATAGCCTATAAACCCCTGTACTTGTTCATAATATTTGTAATCCATAAACTTCCCATCGTTACTTGTTCATGTGTAATTTTGGGCATGTTTTAAATCTGCGTTGTCATAATGTGTACACGCTTATCAGCTTACCATATTCGTTACATGACTTGAAGAACCAGAAATACTTGCTAATCCTAGAGTTTTGTATTAACGAATCCCACCTCCTGATACAGTGGCCCTGTAGTGGCATTCTCAAACAAAGGATTCTCGAGGTGGGACATACGTTAACTGAGAGGAGTTACGTTCATCATTTATCACTTAGAGGTCAGAAATGGTGAACGCGGGATGACTCAATCGTTATGGCATGGCTTGTCCATGCGGTTGTGGTTACCTCAAGTGACTTGATCCTTTTCCTGTTGAATATATTATTCCATCCTTGGCCCAAGTGTGTTCTCTAGAAGTCCTAAACAGCATATTACTGACTGCCACGATGGGACGGGTGATGTGACATACATGTAAGATTTTGTAGATTATATGGTCAAGTAGTAGGAAATCTAAAAATTTGGATTCAATTTGTCATTCTGTTAGCAAAGATAAATAGACTTAATACCGACCTGGACAACAATCTTACAGCGTCATCCTTTGTTATTTGTTAGCTGTTCATTAGCCTCGATATTGTCCACGGAACGCACTAGAATAGGACCTAGTGATAGTGGTTCTATACACGTTTATGATCTTACGATACACAAACCTATATGTTTTACTAACTTATGTTACAAGAACGTCCCAATCACGTTTGCTCTTTATCCATTAGTCTTATTTCCCTATCAACTCTGTAGCTGATGGAGTTGCGGTTAATGACGGTAGGCATAGGAGACAGCAAAAATATTACCCGGTAGCTCTAAATTCAACTTCATCACGACACATGAAAACGAAAACACAGTGTTTATCTGACAAAAAAACTTATTTGGAAACAACTACCCTGAAAACACGTAGTTAGTACCCAACGTAATTAACGTATATAATGGTTTTAATACAGTAAGTCAAAGTCACTGTAGGAAGTACTTTCCTACAAATGTAATGCTAAACTATTCCCTAGACTATCGAGCACAAATTAGCCAAAGTTAGAGCAAGCAAGCTATTTGGCTTGATAAACTTTATCTATTCCCTTTAAACAGAGGAAAGGAGAGACGCAAATAACATACCAAACAGTAACTAGAGGATAGAAAAAATGGGTCAACAATCG